TGAGGCGGTGAGAAGAGTGTGAGGAGACGGTGAGGGCGCTGTGAGGCTGTGAGGAGACTGTGAGGCAGTGAGAAAACGGCGAGCAGACTGTGATGAGACGGCGAGGGCGCTGTGAGGCTGTGAGGAGACTGTGAAGAGTCGTGCAGCATAGTGATTGACTCGCGCCGTCACGCGTTCTGCTACTATTGATCCGCTAGCTGGCGCGTATGTGCGCGGGCGACTGACTGCCAGGCAATATCGGAAGAAATCGCTCGCTTAGATATTGTCATTCTCGACGTTTACTCTCTAAGATTCTGTACGCTGAAATTAAACACCACTGCAGGATAGAACGAGAAGAGGAGATAGAAAGAAAAAGAAAGGGGAGAAGCAGGAATGACAAGAGTTCACGCGAGAGCGCTTGATGAGGAAGAGAGTGTGTGCGATGAGGGGAGAAAGGGAGAAAGGAAAGAGGGAAGAAAGAGAGGGCAGATTGGGGGAGGCAGGCAGAGCGAATAAAAAAAAAGCGAGAGCGAGAGAGAAATCTAGAGGGCAAGTGGAGCATGAAAACGCGTATTCTGTGTAATGAGTATTGCATAGCCCATAGACGTTGCCACCCATGTATAGCTCGTGAAGAAGGTTCGCGTCTGTCGCATTGTTTCCGGCTCGTCAAGCCTATCAACCAAATCCCGATTGGTTCAAGGACTTATCAAATCACGTGACGTCGCCATCGGACGGTTTACGGCTAAGTGAAGGCCCGTAAAAATGTTGATTGCACTTATAAATATTTGCACGGTTAGAACAGCCCATCTCATTAATTTGTGGAATTCAAGATATAGATATTCTCATTAAACATACATTTGGTTTCACTTTCCAGTTTAATTTGGTGACTGAGCTGTGATACAAGAATAACATACATTCGGGGATGAGCATGTCTACATCTCCGGACTACTAATCACGTGCATGCCAACAAATATTTTGCAGTGAAAGAGTGGTTAGAAGTACAGCATAATATCGCAGATCAATATTCACCGTAATTTCCATTACATAAGAATTTTGCATTTAATTTATTTTTCCATCGCGCCCATTAGAACAAATGAAGTGGTACGTGGTATGCAGGGTCCCACCCGTCCCACTCCTGCATTCCACCCGCTGTACGTTGCTAGGTCGTTCTCAGTTTGAAAATAACACTTCTACGTGCGACATGGTTATGGAATTATGGGATACAGCATTCCAACCTGATTCCCGGTAAAATGGATATGAAAAACTCAAAATGGGTGCTGCGTAACAAAATCAAAAACGGGGCTGAGGTTGCCATGGTAACAATCACCAAAGACCTGGGACAGCGTTCACAGGATATGAATGAAGCAGAAGTTGAGCTTTCTACAGATAAACCGAACCGTGGATACGGTGTCACCGGGACGTGATGCTCGCACTGTGCAACAAACTATACTGTTCCTACCGCCCTGCAACAGTCGGCGGCGTTCAACGCCAGTTAACCGATCGCAATAAACATACATGTCTCTCAGAGGCACTCGTCTCTGGCAATTCTCGTATCTATCAGCATCTGATGACCTTTCATTTGGTAGGCCCAAAGAACTTTATGGGTTGCACATGCCAAGTGTCCTGCTTCGAAGTATTATCAGGCATTATATACAACATAATCTAAGTTAAAGATATTCTGACCAGAGGATGGCAATGTCCCTTCAGGCTGCTTACGTATGTCATAACACATCCGCTCTTCAAGGAAACCTTGAATGATGACAACATATGGAACTGCATGCACGTAAAATTGCCATGTTGCATGCGCTTCTGTGGGTAAACACAGCATAGCTTTGTACGTATAGCACAGCTACCCGCACCGCAGAGAAACAGTACGAATGCTAGGGTCATAAGCATGCGAGCGTGAATTCCGCGCGCACAATAACGCGCGAGAGCGCGCCTCCGCTCCTCAGCTTCCGCCTGACAAACAACCGCCGCCGCCGCCGCCGCCGCCGAGAAAACCAGAATTATCACGCGGTCTAGCTCGCGTTGTCCCGCCGAAAAAGCAACGCAAATTTGTCCACGCAGCGAGAAACCAACTCTGAATCTGACTGTCTGTCTGTCTGTCTGCATGTCCGTCCGTCTGTCTATCTGTTTGTCTGCCTGTCTGTAATGACGTTGATATCGAATTATTTAACCTAGTATAAAAACCCAGCGACACGGGTCATTAAACGTAAGCAGATCCCGTCATAGGTTATTTTAGTAACAGCCAAGGTAACAAGCGAAGGACGCCATGCACCCAGCCATCCCGAGAAACTGAGTCACTAGAACACGAGTAAAAGTTACGACCCGCTCAAGTGACGACTGCTACGAGTCTTATGACAAGCCGCGCACGCCGGCCGCGTCGCGCGTGCGTGACACAGCGGGACCTCTAACACCGGTGTCGCACAACCCAACCAGGGTCAAATCTGTGCCATACCCACAGCATTGGGAGTCGAACACGTGGAGTGCACGTGGCATCAGCGGTGGCGACACTATGACATTTTAGTACCGATAGAAGGCTACCCGACGAAGGCTTCGAGAAAGTTCTATCGATGCCTCCATCATATATGCGCGGACTCCGACTGTCGTTCTCTCGCTAGAGAAAGAAACTCTCACCTTCAGTTGTCCATAAAGTCTGGAGAAGGACGACAGGATTGCACCACCGCACGCAACAAGGCCTTGACCACGCTCGGGTCACGCATTCCTCCAGTTGTATAAATACCGAACAGTTTCGACAAGAAGACAGACACAGTTCCACGGTGCCTACCAGTTCACGTCGCTGCTAGCACCCACTGAACCCACCTGCTGATCGCTGCTACTGTTGCCGCCGCTAACTGACAAGAGGAACCACCTGCTGATCGCTGCTACCGTTGCCGCCGCCAACTGACAAGAGGACCCTCCTGCTAGGTCGTAAGATATGAACCACTTGTAACGCGTCTTTGATTATTGGCATGCGTAGTCACATATGTACTTTATGTATTTGTCAATATGGTGTTGTTCATTAAAGAATAGAGTTACCGTAGTAATTACGTGGTTATAGCATTAATTATACTGTTTGTGGCTTAAGTGCAATTGCCCACATATCTGTTCTACAACGAACCTGGACACACTATTACGATCACACGTGCCTGTTACACGAGCTCACGAGCTTCCCTATATGTCTCTCAAGTTTTTCGCTCTCTCCCCTCCCTTTCTCACCAGAACACACGAAAGCCAAGACTTGACACAGCCGTCTGCTCTTCAAAGTGCCTCAGTCGGCGATGAGTAACGCTGCGATGTCGTGACGACGTATCGCAGTGTCCAGATGCACAGAGAAAGCAGCCAGTCCCTCGACGACTAATTACTCACCATAACGCAGCTGATTAGTGATGTGTGTGTGCGTGCGTGCGTGCGTGCGTGCGTGCGTGCGTGCGCATAAATTATTTCACGCAATAAAACGTTTCCAGCGTGATGTCATTAGATTCGATTGGATGTTTCCTAGAAGGTCTAGATAGCAGTTCAGAATACGTACACTAATGAATGCTAGTGGAAACTGCGTGTTGCCTCTGTTTAGGTAACAGTATTTGGCGTGGGCGCGGGGAGGTTACTATTGTACGCAATTCTATTCTATTCGATAGAATATATTTATATATATATTCATTAAAATATGCACTTCCAGCCCAGGAATTACAGCAAGGTTCTGTGCGAAAACACAATCATCCAATAAAAATCATCAGAGAACGTTTTCTCTCTGTTTGTACTTCTAGCGCTATTACTTAGGGACAAGGGCCATGACAGCCGACCACCAGAAGCGGCAGTAGTAGGAGCAATAGCAGTAGGAGTAGCAATAGCAGTAGCAGTTGCAGCAGCCATACCAGTAGCAGTAGCAATAGCAGTAACAGTAGCAATAGCAGTAGCAGTAACAGTTGCAGCAGCCGTAGCACAGTAGCAATAGCAGTAGCAGTAGCAATAGCAGTAGCAGTAGCGGTAGCAGTAACAGCAGTGCAACAGCTAAGTATAGTAGTAGCAATGCATGTCGGTGCGGAGGTGCTTCGGGTTAGGGAAACCACAGACTTGCTGCATTAATAATTACTAATTGGGACATCTGCACGGGCCAATGTTTTGTCCTTCGTGCCTTTTTCATCCTAGCACCTGCACCCCGATACAACTGTCTTACACAGTTGAATAGTGCTCACTGCCCACTTCAAATGCATGAATCATTAAAAATAAGATTAATTATTCACACGAGTTACCATTCTCATTGTGTTAATATCAGGAGTAAGATAATATAGGATATACCTATATTATCTTACTCCTGTTAATATCAATACAAACGGTAACTAGGGAAATATCACAGATATTAATCTTTCTTCTGTGTTACAGTTCAATTACAACAGCTGAAAAATTAATTTTAAACAATGTGTGTGTCGCAGTAAAGTATATTCCTCCAAACAAAATTTTTAATAGAGTAACAAATTCTGAAATCGTGAACGGGGTATATAAACATCAATAGCACATCGGCCGAGCTGACTTAGATGGATATCTTTAACCAAGAGACTAGTCATCCATACGGGCTGTGCTTTCTTGATATTAAACGATGGCCTTGGGTAGCCTAGCTTACGTTTTTCATTCCCATTACTTTTTTCTCCACATAAAATAGGTTATTTATTTAGATTTTTACATTTCAGATTTTATTATTTTTTGAAACAATACAGTAAAAATAAGGCAAAAAACGCATCCAAGGAGCACTAAATAACAACAATTATGCAGGCCACAATCCCCCGGCCTCAGAATTCAGTTTTTGCGCAAATAATACTTTCCAATTCCAACCCCCACCATAACAAAACCTACATACCTGTATCGGAGTCCTGCTGACCTCAATGGACGGTGACCTTGGGTCTTCCTCCAGAACACGGGATCGGTGAGCAATTATTGATGAGCTTGGCGTGTCGATGCTGGGAGAGTTGTCAACCTGTAACGAACATAACCCCATGCTCACAGTGTGTACGTCTTGGGGGTCTAAATTAACATGTTCCTTATGGTTCACTGCTCATAAAAAATTACCAAACGTGTAAATAGCCATGGGGAATATTTTCCCCGAGCCGTAATACAACACGTGTCATTCACCTTAATTGTTTCCTGCATTTCCACGATACTAGACTGTCAATGACTCACTAACTCTACAAATTATGCTTCGAAGTATGTGTCGTGGGGGAAAGCCATCTCCCACGTGGCTTGCTATGTGAGCTTAATCGAGGACTACTTCACCTTTATTCATTTTATTTGGGAGAACCAAAATCTATCCAGGAAACGTACATGCCAGGGCGCTGCTGCTAGTGTTAAGCTGTCAGAGTCATATCAGAAAAGGCTGTCTAGTTTCGGTCTTCATCTGCAATGCGACGTGTTTCACTGCACAGCTACGCGTGAGGGGGGGGGGGAATATCGACACTACCATGTCTGGTTCGCCGCACGCTTTTCTTCAAAAATTGATGAAATGTAATTGAGTTTCGTTGTAACAGCGTAACGGAAGAATTTCTGCCCAAAAACGAGCGCATACGAGTTATAAATTTTCACATGCATTCTGACCAGGACGTCACTGCTGTGGGAATAGAGACCGAGCTGCAGGAATAACAGCAGACAGTCAGTGGCGGTAGGGTGGTCGCATTCTACTAAGTACTCAGAGCGCGTCAATCCTACACAATGAGTGCATGTGACACTGTGTACACACACCACGGTATTGCGTGTACGTTTGTACATCCTGTATTACAGATCGCAGGCACTAGTAGCGCACTAGAACTCGAAGCTGTACCGCCAGAAACGTTATACGACATGGTACGCGCGGTCAGGGAAATTATTTTCGAATAGGCAGATGTGAGAATTCACGAGCTTTCAACGAAGGCCACACATCAAGACGAGATTCAGCCATCGATGAGTAATCGAGGGCAATCTCTGCCTGGATTAATTTGATAATGCTTCCTTCTATCCTCTCACCACATCTTCCAGCCAGCACTGTGTGAACCATACAAATACAATAATCATATTGCTGCGACATCCTGGACGACATAGACATAATATCTAAGGTTCACCAATCAGCCACACATGATGATTTCATCTTGTGAGACCATGTAAGCCTACATGAAGGTAATGGTATATATAACTAATCTGACATTACAAATAAAAATTGTTGAGTTCATGCATACATTTCGAGTGTGATCCCTCATGCATGATCATTGAGATCTGGCTGGCTATTTGAAGGTAAAAACGAATAATGGTCCAGTAATTAAGGCACTACTGGAATAGGCCAGTAATGCAGCATGATAACAATTCCTGCTTCTGCCCAACCCCTACCCTACTCGTGTGTGCAATGCATGTTCTTAAAATATACGGGTTTACGGTCATATCCTTGGCACCTCCCTCGTTGCGGCATCGTGTTGCTCTTGCGTTTACTGTGTTCACTCAAAACTGAAGCTGCATCTACCATTATTATGTGGTTGCATTTGTTCACCTGCTGGAACTAAATGTTTTCCTATGATAGGTGATTCTGGTTATCTCAATTCTTACTTATAGGTCACCTACTTTTAACAACCCACACAACCTTTTATTTTCATAATGTCCAGCATGCCTGTTATTACATCAAAAATCTAATTATAAAAATAACTCTGATTAGTTTACGATTCACGAAACATTTACACTTGGTAGCTAGGCCACAATAAACAATATAATTAAATTTCATATTTCTTTATGTATGATTCTTTATCAAGCCTCCATGTACTTAAAGGGATAGTAGACTCTAGGACTTTACTGCATATAACTGTATTTACTGTATAACAAATCATCTACGCGTATTTGTTACCAGATACCTAATTTGATTGTTATAATTAATTACACATCAACGCTACGAAATTTGAACGGCGCCATGACACCCGCGACCGTGCTGCCAGATTTGAAAACAAGTTGCGTTATGTTGCCAAGATTTATTTTGCAACGTTACAAGACCGAGGGCCTATATCACAAAGGTGCAATTATATTCCATAAGCTAAATGGCATTTAATTTAACACCCAAGGAACCAGTGGCTTCGAAATAATTTAAACAATCACTGTGGTCCTGCCTCCCTGCGGACAACCCAGGCATCAAATCGGTTGTCCGCCACCAATTTCTGGTTGTCCCAAGAAAAATTATCCCCAAATCTCCTATTTTCAATCCACGATAAATAAATATGGTCAGAAAACACGCGGCAAAAAAACAGTGGTGTAGCCAGGATTTTTTAATCAAGGGTGGCCAAAAACTAGCAACTTGCGCAAATAGTGGCAGGATGACTTGAAATATTTTAAATGGCTCCTACGCCTCCCTGCCTCCACATCATATCGGCTCCTCTACCTTTTCTGCAATCTTCTGTTGTTGTTTCGGTGCCATGTGAAAAGGGCGATCATTTTGTTCATTGTTTCTGTTCCGCAAAGTATAGATTGTAATTGTTCAATCCTGGCGGGCTCATTGGGGATTTCAAGAGGGGGTGAAACAACAAGCGGGTGAGGGTATGGTCCTGCGCCCCATAAAATTTTGAAAAATCGTAGATCGAGACGATGGTATATTGCAGCAGCATTTTTTTGAGTACATGTACAGGCCTTCATTCGACATTCCGCACAATTCTCTTTTTTTTAACTTTCGATCAACATTGAATCCCCCATTGCATGTTGTTTGTTTGGCATCGGGGCCAAAGAACACTCCACGGGCAAGGATTCAAAATAACGTAATGGACAATAACAAAGGTCACCAAAATGTGTGGTGAAAACTTGCTTGGTTATGCTGGTTCCAAATAATCTGAGTTCCACCTCTCATTAAAATCAGAAAAAACCTGAACATATACCAGTGTTGGAAACTGCAGCTAAGTATGCGGTCGTCGGCTTTCCCACACCATATGATTACATTGCGGGCCGTCAGGACTATAAGTGCTACTTGGGAGAACTCCTGGAGAACACAAATTCTAAAGTGCCGTTTTTTCGTCACTTTTTTGTCTTCGGTTGTCCACCGGTTATCAATGTCCTCAGAACTGGGTTAGGGCTTGTCCGGTCAACAAATTCTGCGGTTGTCTCGGACAATCCGGGGACAGCGACGCTTATTTCGACACCTCGCGAAACGAATGTTGCACTTTTAGGACCAAATTCTGGATCCATCAATATACGCACCTGGAAACTAGTAGTGTCGTTTAACTACGATAATTTAAAATCCTTTTCTTTATAAATTAGTCAAAATAGAAGAAAACACCAAGCCTCGGATCTTAGCCCTTGCTGGAAGTGTTTGCGGCTAACTATATCAGATCGTAGCGCTTTGAAGTGGCGGCCACCGGTCAGTTGTATCAAACTGTAGTCGCTTGTCATTTTAAACATTGTTTCTAATAATATTTCTAATGGTGATTAAACCATGAAACTTTTTATGATAGCAATAATTTAACCTAAATTAACTGAAAATAACCCTAGAACCTAGAGTAAACTAATCCCTTTAAGGAGTGTTCAAGGTCAAACACAGGCATACCATTTGGCCTATGCAATTGCTGATTAAAATAGGTAATATCAGAATAACTATAAACAAAGTTTGAAGGTTGAAGTATGTGGGATTATCAGATTGTAGGAAGAATATCCAGAGAGACCGGGTACAAGATGGCGTTGCGCAAAACAGATGCCGTTGTTCCCCCGCGAGCCGGCCGGAGAGCCGTTAAGCCGCCGCACTCCGCGGCACTGGGCGCGACGCGACCCGGCAGCGGATGTGTAATTGCATGTCAATGTCGGGCGAGGGTAATGTGTACCTAATACCCGCTCGTGCGGTGCTGGCCGTCATCAGGCCGGGGTGGCGCGCTTCACTACCCTGGCCGGGCGGGCTTCCCTAGCGACGGAAAATGGCACCAGGACGCGCGCCCCACAGGCCTCGCCATAAGCGGCGGTAATAAGCGCGGGGTGGAAACGCATAGAGCCGCCTTTCGCGCATGTGGTCGCCATGGTACGCCAATGATGGCCATGATCGCCGGAGGTCACGGCGTTTGTTTTGACGCACTGTTCAAAACAAACGCCAAGCGTTCGGCCGATCTGACTGGAACGGGTAAAAGAACGGCGCGTGGGGTTCGCCAAGGTCCGTGAGACAAGCGGCGTAAACATCTCCATAAACGCCGTACAAGGCCCGTACATCTGTCGCATGGAAAGCGGCCGGTAGCCAGCGGCGCAGTACACGCTAGCAAAGACGGCATGCGAAATGGTAAATTTGCATAGCGGCGGACTTCGCATGGCGTCCAGTGTGTCTGTCGTCTTCCTCGGCGTGTATGTCGTGTTCATGCCGAATCATTGGCAAGAAAGATATCCGGAGCTTATTGCTTATTGTGCGGCAGCAAGCAGCAGGCAGCAGCATACAATGAGTGGCTGCAGAACTGTAAAACATCGATCAGACGGCGAAAGAAGGGGGGGCAAAGCGAAGAAGATGTGGGCTTTAGACCATGCGTAGGTGATGGTCCGAAGATTCTTCAGTTTTGGGCACTTCAACCGCCTCATGGCCTGAGTTGAAGGCAGCGAAGATCCTGCATCTTGTCCACAATTTCGCTCAGATCCACCAGAGTATGTTTTGAATGAGCTGCTCCACTCAGACTTAATCCAAGAATCACCAAGGCAGGTATATCCAATCTACAGAAAGCTATAGATCCAGGCTGAAGCTTGCAGCCACTCTGGCGCCATCTTGGCATATGGTGCACATGTACGCGCAGTATGAGAGTTTGACATCAAGAATCCCATCCAATACCTTCTTCGTTTCGTAGTGAAGAAGTCTGGCCGGGCCATAGTAGATATACCAAATGAAGTGATCCCAGTGCCTCTACTACCTCGCTGCAGAATGGGGCATTGCAAGTTGTGCTGAACAGCTTCGAACGTCGCTGTGAATGGTCCCTATGGATGTGGTGCGACCTTGATGGCAAACACGTTGCCATACCGGAAAGC